TTCCTTTTTAACGGATCTTATCTTGCTTTAACAGAGTCTTTCAATATCTTCTTTAAATGATGCTTGTCCAGCTTCCATCTGTTCTTGGAATGCAGCAAAACCACTAATGAGCTGTCTCAATTGTTCTTCCATTGGCATTCAAATCCCACTTCTGACACCAAAATTGTTGCGTGCGTACGGTTTCGTTACGAAATGAATGCACAAGTAGGATGAAAAATTAACAAAAATTTATTATTATAACAACAAAAATGCTTAAATTTTCTCAATTTCATGTAGTATTACAATATCTCACGTAGTTATCTTTAACTACTCAAATGTCCAATAGAACGTATTCAAAACAGCTAAAGAACGCTAATCGCGAATTCGCTACCTCAACAAGAGCAGTTTTCTAAACAAAACAAACTAAGCATCTCTACAAACTGAGATGTTTCTCCTTTTATAAGATTTTAAAATCAGCGTAGAATTTCCAGTACTTTCCGACAAAAAAAAAGAGATATTTATTTATTTAACGCCGCGCTTTGTATTTTAATTTTACGGCTTAGCTTTCTTTTAAGTCATTCGTCACGCGCCCGTGCAAACGAGAAGCACCTGTTTATGTGAATTTAGCTTTTAAAAATTCCGTAACATATCACCAGCTTTGCCAAACTTTCTTGATTTTTCCAGTAAATAGTTCCCTAATATCTTTTGTTCCCATAAATAGTTTTTATGGATTGGTGTCAAGAATAGAAACCCTTCCCATCAAAGCAGGTACAAATCATAGGTCCCTTGTGCAAGGAATTAGAATCCTTGGCATCAAAGGAACGTCCTAAAATTCATTTCCCTTATTAGGGTACCCCAATCTTTATAGAACCAGAACCATTGTAACAATGCTCTGTGTCTATTTCCAAAAGAAATAAGCTGCTTTGCCACTTTCTGATTGGTATTTCTGTATGTTTTTTGTAAAATAAGTACCCTCGATTTTTAGAACGTCCTACAAATCTTTGCATGTTATCTATCCTTTTGGCATCTTTTACCAAATCTTCAATTTCTATAAAAAATGTATCATTTGACTTATTCCATAAGTACCCCAATACTTTAGAACAAGTTGAATCCTGTGAAAAATCTTCTTACTTCCATACTTTTTGTAAATTCGTTTCATTTGTTTTCCACTTTCGCAAGTTAAATCCACCTTCTTTCAGTACGCGTCTAATATGCTCCGATTTCTCGAATGCTTCGGATTCTTCATCTGCTTCAGCGATTAAGTCATCAACATACATATTTTCAGTTAGCATGAAAAATGCGTTCGCATACTGTGACTTGCATTTGCCAGCGTGTACATTAAGAGTTGATCTGAAAAGACACGGACTAGACGTTGCTCCAAAAATTACCCTTGTCATACGGAAGAGCCTTTATTTTCGTTCCATTTAATTCACCATCGTTCCATAGAAACTTGAATGCGTTTCTGTCTTCATCAGCAAGAGAAATCTGCAAGAATGCTTGTTCGATGTCAGTTGTAAACGCAATTCGATTTTGAAGGAACTTAAGAAGCAATTCCAGTATGTCTGGACACATCTTGGGACTTGAATGTAAACCATCATTTAATGACAAACAATGCTTCGCATGTGACGAAGCGTCAAAAACCACACGGAGTTTTGCAGTTTCCTTGTTTTTTCTTATAACGGCTTGATGTGGCATAAAATACGTTTTTGGTACAATTTCAATGTTAGTTTCTTCGGCGATTCCTTCCTTTAAGTACTTATCAATTACTTCGCGATAGAACTGTTGATTATTCTGAAATCTACGACTTAACTCTAAATCTAATTTAGTAATTCCTCCAGATTATCTCCAAGCTCATTTGAATTATGATTCAGGGAAGCGGACAACATAACGATTGTTTTCAAATTTCACAGATCTTTTGAAATTATCGAAAACTAAATTATCTTCTAATTCGAGTTCCTTATCTGAATCGTAATTTATCCCCATAGATTCGAGCTCCCAGAGATTCTTCAGCAAACCAGACAGTGATTCGTTCTGTGTATCTTTATTATTATGAACCACAACCTTCATAGTATTCACATTAGTTGGTGAAATTATGTAAGCCCTTTCTGATCTACTAATGGTCCAACCCGATTTTGTTTCAACGGCTACTAAGAAATTAGTCTGTAAACCTTACCCGTAACTATTTTCCAATAAAAATCCGCTCTTATCAGCAAAGAAATTTTCGGCGTTTTATTCCCTTGTCTCCATTCATCGGAAAGTTGCATGCCCTGTTTTTTTAATAAGATTAACTATTTCATTTCTAGGGGAATGAATATGTGATCCATTAATGACAGGAATAATTAAAGCTTCTATTTTGATTTGATTTCATATCGATACTTCGAATTATGTAAAATGAGACTGGTTTTTTTAACATTCTGCGCTTCAGACGTCGTGCAACCGAAAGAGAATATTTTTATTTTTTCTTCTCCAATAACCGGACCGGAAGTTTTAATTTGTTACAGATGTCCTCCGTAATAAATGTTCGCTGCGATCCTAAATCAAACAGCGGGTGAACGCTTTGCTGGCGCCATTATCTGCTGCCCCTTGGACGGGCTTCTCGTCTGACGCGTTCTTTGCGACAGAATGTATCAATGTATGATGTCGTCGATCACAAATTCCACCAGTTACTTTCGATTTGCAGTTCCTCGCTAAGTGATACCTTTTGAGACACACGAAACAATTTCCACTTTGCTTTAACGCTTCCTTTTTCTTCTGGCACAGTCTTTTGACATTATTCTGACGTATGATATTCAGAACAGAATAAACAGCTATTAGAAAGTGATGTGTTTAACACTGCCGCTGAAGGAATTCTACCCTTATTATAATACCGATTTCTTTCGTTGTCTCGAAACAGTTCTCGAAACTGCTGCTTATTTTCAAAATGGGATTTCCTTTCAGTGACTTCAGAATCTGTTGGCTTTATTAAAAATCCTGTACGTTCTCGACTTTCTTTTTCTTTTCGTAGAAAATTTGTAATTTTTTGTCTGATTATCATCTTCATATTTCTTACTAAATTCTAGTGCTAAATTATTCGAAATCACCTTTATTAATATCGAATCCAATAAGTTACTGTTCGAATCAGGTAAAATATTACTTGATTCTAATCCTCTAATTTGCACTTCACAACGATCATATAATTTTCGAAGTGCTGTCACATCGCAAGACCTTTTAAGCGGAGTCAGAGTTAATAAATTGTTCATGTGGTATCATTATTAGTTCTTGCGTCCGAAGCGATCTTTTAATATTTTCACAGCCTTCTCGTAATTCTCCGCTGTTAATGTCAACTCTTGTATTGCGTTTCTGCATCGGAAGTAAGAATTGACTTTAATAGTTAATTTTATCTACTGCATGTAGACTTTTCGTTTTCGTGTACAGCTGTCTCAAATCGTGCCACCCAGCCAACTGCACACATCCTTTCCCAAAACGTTTCCAGGGCAATTGGGGAGTTTAATTCTGTTTTGAGATTCCGTGACAGTTCTAGCATGACAGAATTAGCGCTATGTGGATTAGTTCTAAATCTTTCCGCGCGCGATTTCCAAACATAATTTTACTTTTATACTCTTCTCTAGACATTTTTTCATATCTAAATTTGTTACCTTAATTAAAGTTCAATACCAATATACGCTTATTTTGTTCTTTTCTTTCTAATTAACTGAGTAACCGTTCTTCAATTACATTGTTTCCCCCATTAGCAATTCTGTCTATCTTATTTATCAGCCTCGCACTACGCTCCTATATAGATAGTTCTTTTTTAAATTTTCTAAATCCATGTTTTTGTTTTATATTTGCTTTTATTTTTAAAGCAAAATATATTAAATTTCAGTTCAAATTCAACCCAGTGGCCCCACGTTATGACGCCACAATATTATTATTTATTATTATCGTTATCGTTAGTGTTTTACACTTCTAACTAATTAATCAAGGTAAAACAAAACTGCTTACCTTGTCCAAATAGGTTCTGCCAGGGGCACTGGTTAATATTGATCTTTTCTGTGGTTAATATTGATCTTTCTCTTAAATGATAAATGCATTCTTTACACAAACATATTTAATGAAGACGCAAACGGGTTACAGAATATTTGCATAATGAAAAGGGTTTTAATTTTGGCACGACGCAGCGTGCGACTTCTCCGTTCCGAGTTCTCGTGCGATCTCTAAGTAAGAGTTCATAGTTCGAGATGACGTCACTCATCCATCAGATCTTTGCAAGAGTTGCAACACAGGAAAAGCCTCACTGTCAACTGATTTTTTTTTCCTTTTCCAAAATAGAAAGTTATTTTTTTGCATGTTTCACAGTTAGCATTTTTAACAAATTAAAGATGTACGCATTCTCGAGAGTCCCACAGTGAAAAAGTCTGATTATAATTCTAATAGATTGTACTTAATTGTACAAAGTTTTTAATGGCCGGCACTAGCCATTTTTAGGCTTTAGTCACTGCTAAGGCCAGAAGTTGCGGTCATTATATTATGGAGACACCTAATAGGCGGCCAACGTTACCTCTCATGAGGCAACAGACAATTTACATTCATGCCTTCTCCAGGATTCGAACACGGGCCTTTTGATATCGCAGTCGGCTCCCTTAATCACTATACCGTCTTATTATACAAAGAAATCGGTTTATACCAAGGTATCATGGTTGGGAGGTTCGCAACATTTGCTGGTTTTAAAAGTATCTATAAATTGATCAGCTTCTAGACTTCTTGTCAGATTCTCAAATTTCTGTCAGCAAGCATACATATGGTTTGCTGAAATATCAATGAGAGATCATGTTTGCGGGGTTTATAGAAAGAGTAAATGTTTAATGTTTTAGCGCTATTTTCGAGTAAATAACAATTTGAGGGTACATTTGATTCAGAAATACTCGGAGTACTCTAAAATTATTATAGATGCTAAACACGTACAATATAGTTTGTTACTCTTGTCAGATTTTATGAATCGTGAAAAAAAATTTAAAAACTAACTCAAATTTTACTAATTTCAGAAAAGAAGCCATGCAAAAATTACAGAATATGCCTCCGCCCAGGAAGAGTGCTCATATCACAGTGAGTTTTACACCTCGGGTTTTCCCAACAGCTGCTAGGGAATCAATGGAAGCTGAAGAGAATGAGGTATTTGTATAAAACATGAGTTTCTCTGCTCATTTTTGTGTGAATCGCATGAGATGCACTTTCAAAATAATACAGCCGTCTCTACAGTTAAATTTATTATAAATATAAATGTAATTTATGGTTTGGTACTTGTTTGTTATCCGGTATTCTGCGATATTAACTAAAAATATTAGTTGGGGCTTGGATTCTTTGCGAAAATTTAGCAGTATTCTGGATCTTTCTACAAATTTTTCTTCCTTTAAAAAATTTTTTTTGATGGAGTTGACTTCTTTTTACTGCCTTGTACGAAGTAAAAAGGAAGTATCGTAATCGCGAAAAGCTTCAGGCAGCATATTTCAACGAAAATATCCACTTAGAGCGCTTTCGAATGCAATTTAACGATGTTTTTGCGTGATATCTATACGTAAGGACAGAATAAAAGACTCTTTTCCTCCAAAAAAACTAAAAACTGCTTTAAAATGAATTCTGAAGAGAATTTTTCGTGGCGTCTGTACGAACGTATGTACGTACGTGCTTGCGTACGTACGTATCTCGCATAACTCAAAACGAGTAGCCTCAGAACGTTGAAATTTTGTATATGACTGCTATAACATTCGATGTGCACCTCGTATTTTGGTTGCAATCGCCGCACCAAACGTATATAAATATATTTATAAATATATCCACTCTGTTACGCTCAGTGATCTCAGTTTCTTTACTCTTATATGTTTGTAAATTGTAATTTTTTGCTTTAAAAATGATTGAATTATGTGTTTTTATCTTCCGGTTTAAGTTTTATGCTTTAGTAAATCTGGTGCAATATTTTAGAATTATCAACAATTTAAAGTTAAGTGCGCTAAGTTTTTAAATGGCGGCATATTGTTTACATTTGAAACAGGAGAAGTGATTTGTTGCCAATCTAGAGA